CAGTTAATGTCCACCTGAAGTCACTCACATAACTTGCATTTAAGGGAAATGTTGTCCGTGGGCGAAGAGGATTTTGGAATCTGCAAGGCTGCGGGCGACAACACTTGAGGTTTCCAGCCTGCCTATGCCGAGTTCGTGTGTGCGGATAAGAGCACATACACACGTAGTGGATTATGTAGGTTTCCAAGCACGCAGGCTTAGAAGATGAATCCCACTCAGGTCTGCGGGCTAGTGTGCCCGCTCGCTGATAGGCTCGAGGGTGAAGAATTTTCTTGTTCCCACGGGTTGTAATTCGTTTTCCATTTGTTTTTAAATATATGTATTTTATGCAAACTTTAATTCAATAAAATTGGAAACAAAATTACAATTAAATCATTCAAAACATAATACCACATACAAATGCTATTTTATTTATAAAAATTCAGTACTTATGAAGTGGAATGTTTCTCCCCCCTTAAAGAAAATGTCCCCAAATTTGGAATTACAAAAACAACCCTGAATATATCTCTCATGGTAGTCTTAACTTCCCAAGTCACTTCTTGAGGAGAGTGATGATACAATTGTACTTTGATCACAGGAATCTATTGACATTGTAGTACCCTAACCTGTCTGTCGAGGATACAGACTAGATATTCTTCGTTTAACAAATTAGGTTACAGCGTTAACAACTTATAAGAAATGAAATGAGTTAGATCACGATGATATTTTCTAAGCATCGATACATGAAAAATATCATGAATACCTGAAAGTTGAGGTGGAAGGGCTAAGCGATATACAATAGGACCAAGCCATTCCAAAATGTGAAAAGGTCCAATGAATCTAAGACTCAGTTTTCTGCATCTCCCAAATCTCATGATCCCCTAAGCAGATAAACCTTGAGAAATATATGATCTCGACTGCAAATTATGGATTTTTTCTCTTGTTATCAGCATAGCTCTTCTGCCAACTCTGCGCAGTGAACAAATTTCTTTGAATGACAGAAATTTTATTAAGAGTTTCTTGGACTAGGTCAGGTCCAGACAAATATCTCTTCCCAACTTCATCTCAACAAAAAGGAGAACGACAGGGTCTGCCATACAATGCCTCATATGGTGTCATCCCAATACTAGAATGGTAGCTATTGTTATAGACAAACTCTACCAACGGTAAGTGTCCATCCCAACTACTTTCAAAATCAAACATACATGATCTCAGCATATCTTTAAGCATTTGTATAGTTCATTCAGATTGTCCTTTAGTCTGTGGATAGATGGCAGTACTGAAAAAAAGACAAGTACTAAGAGTGTTCTAAAAATTAGACCAAAATTTGGAGTTAAATTGTGAGTCTCAATTAGAAACGATAAATACTAGGATACCATAAAGACGGACAATTTCTCGAATATAAAGCTCTGGTAATCGGCTAAGAGTGTATGTAGTTTTAATAGCCAAAAAGTGCTAACTTAGTCAATCTATCAACAATTACCTGAATAGCATTATGTCCATGGCTAGTATGGGGCAATCCAATAATAAAGTCCACAATCACACGTTCTTATTTCTATTCAGGAATAGGGAAAGGCTAAAGAAAACCTATGACATTCCTGGACTTATTTAATTTGAACTACCCGCATTTTTAAATTTGTAATTTATATTTATGTTTAAAAGTTTATTTTGTGCATGGTTTTAAATACATTTTTATCTGAAAAAGAATATTTAAAAAATATAAAAACAATAAAGAACAACAAAATAAAAAGAAAACATGTCCTGTGGGCAAGCCTCGTAGGAAATTTGTGATATCTCAAGTGCTAATTAACGCAAATGGGTGTCAAATACATATTCAGAATAACGAGTGCAGGATAATATTTATGCAACAGAATCAAATCTTAACAAATTTCTTACAGATATATATATATAATATTCCAAATAAATACATCATTGAGGCCAAAAGTAGCTACAAAATACAAAACATAAGGGTCACTTCTTTTACTATGCTACTGGAATTCATTAGAGTGCAGAAATAGACATGCACTCAGACTTGTGAGTCCATGGGATCCTAATAGACTTCCAATGGTAGGTCTGTCTACGGTTCCTCATTTTTTCCCTCATCTAGGGAGAATGAAAAGAGTGAGTTTCATATGCTCAGTAAGGAAAATAATATTAAATTAACATCGTAAGATTTCAAAAGTTTATTATTTTATCTCACAATTTAGCTTCCTCGTTCGTATAACTCATCATTCGGAAAAAATCATTTATTTTCATACTAAAATAGTACGTTAGCACAAAAAATTAATTATACATATATCATGCCAAATAATAGAGAAAATCAAATAAATCATTAAATGCACAAATTTTTTCCATGTCATGCTTCGCGAAGTCATTACAAACTTCCATCTCTGAGGGTAAGTACAGATACAGATTTCCAACAGCCTAAGTGGAATGACCAGATGAGATACAGATATAACAATTTGCTCAGGGCCACTTCCAGCTGGCCAAACCATGGTACGATTTATGACCACAACTGTACGAACTATAGTGGTCTTAATAGATAGTCTATAGTCACGACATTACTTAGTCATGGGTGACCCCTACAGATAGTGTGATACCACTCTCGTTAGAGGGCACACCGTCATCCACTAGGAGCGATCCTCTTACGTCTTTTCAGACCAGATAGGGGAGGGAGAAACAGACACCTCAAAGGGCAAGAGGAACAGATACCCCTAAGAGATAAAAAGCTTAACAAGACACTTGATGCAATATGCATGTCAATACAGATACATTTCAAACCATACATGCTTCATTCCACTTTTTTTTTTATTTTTTATTTTACTTTTATTATCATGGGTTACGTATTACATTAATTACATGCAAAATCGTTAAGTGTCAGTAAGTCACACAACATGCTTGAAAATAAGAACATTTCGACTCATTCGAATATATAGGCATGCAAAACAGGCAAAATAACTACCATATTAAATTTTTTTTATCTAAAAAATACTTCTCAAGACGTCGAAAGTAATACTAGATTCCTTACTGAAACCTCAATGTTTCTTCTTCACCAATTTTTCTTTCTTTCTCTTCTTCTCTCACTAATTTACTATATATCTCTCTCTCTTTATACCTTTGAAAAATGGAAGAAATAGAAGCGTGGAGAGCAAGGGAAGGGGAGGGCAATTTATAGAATTTTAGAATCGTTGGATTCGCACAAAGTGGCAAAATCCAATGAAGAGAGAGGAGAAAAAGATTCTTGGCACAAAAAATGAGGAAAAAAATTTTCCTCTACCGGCAGTAGCGACACGCTGCCCAAGGCAATGGGAGAGCACTACTCGAGGTGGCAAAAGCCTGGCCGACGTGCAGGCCCTAAGCACACAGGGCCTGTCCGTGCAGACCTACTGCGTGGAAGACGCACACACAGTGTGCGGCGCCAATCCGTGCGCTAAGTGATTCGCGGACGGCCCACCTGAGCGCGTATGTCCTGACCCTACGCTGTGCGCACGGACTGGACGTGCGCGCTATGCGCACGTCCCGTACGTGAGTGTGTGTGGAGGGAAATTCGCGTTGTGCGTACATCCCACGCGTGCTGACATGCAGTGGGTCGTGCATGCTGTGCATATACCCCGCGGCCACTGTGCGTGCACATAGTGCCCAACACCTGAAGGGGCAACTGTTTTCTCATGGGATTTTTCTCGCGAGTAGGCTTTCTCCCGTTTCACCATTTTTCAATTTTTTTCTAAATTTTTCTTTTGAAATAAAATAAAATTAATAAAATAAATAAAAAAGAAAAAATAAAAAAAAAATTAAAATCATGGATCTTGAGAACTGTATAAATTAATTTAAATTAAGGCAGCTAAAGCTCTGAATAAATAGAGTTTCTAAATCATTTTAGCACAGTGATAGGCAAGGTGTTACAAAATTTCTTGCGGATGCGTATGCGAACCCATGAGCCTGTACGCATTCGTGCTCGCAAGCCCGCATGCATGTGGATTTATTTCGCACACGCACATGAGGGGTAGAATCTGCCCGCTACAATTGCCATGTGCGATGCTACTACAACTGCTGGTCAGTCATTAAGGCCGATCGACGACCAAGATAGATTGTATGTGATCCAATAAATCACATGCATCTTTGCTTGGGTATTTAAACCAAAACAACCACTCTATTTTTTTCATTTCTTCTCCATTTTCTTCTTCTCTACCTTTCTTCTTCACCTGACAGAGGAAGAGAGAGAGGGTTAAGAGAAAAATTGTGTGCAACCTGTGAAGCCCCAAACTTTCCTCCTCCTCCGCCATGAGTTTTTCTCGTGTCCTCTTCCTTTAGCTGAAGGTAAGAATTTTAGTATTTATTGTTATCCTTTTAATGCCTTTTGTAGGATTTTAGACTATTTAAAATCAAATTACATGCTTGGTTAGGGATTGTTTCATGCATGTGAGTGTTTTGAATTTCACTAAGTGTTTAATGAGTTTTTTTTTTTATGTTAAATGTTAAAATGATTGTGTATGTTTGAAGAAGGTTTGAAATGCTTGAAATGTGCAGATTGAAATAGTAAAAATAGCTTCAAAATGGATTTTGGGCACCAAGCTGCTAGATCGGTCATGGTTTGCGGCTGTGCTGCGACTTTGCACGCAAAGGACATGGTCTCTGGCATGCTGCGTGCGTGTAGTA